TCACCTCAGCCTCCCAAAGGTGCGGGATTACAGGCTGAGCCACCGAGCCCGGCTTGTGCTGTATTTCTAATGCAGTGACCCAGGTCTCCACTCAGGGGACTGAGCTGTTAGTCACCTTGTATTTATCAGGTTTGGGTTATTACAATTGTCCATTTTCAATTATCACTGAGCAAAAAAATACAAGGGCTGCCCCCAGTGAATCTCCTGGGTTCTAGTCATATTCTTATTTCTGCTGTTGCATTGCAGCACCATAGCTTCTCATAGTAATCAAGGTAAATTACTCCAATCAGTATAGCAACTGTTTTCTTTGCCTGCTAGTCCACTGGTAGGATAAGTTCAAAATGACTGAGTGATAGCTGCAACTTCTACTTCATCACCCCCGACCAGAAGACCATAATTAATATGAGAGAAAAAAAATGGAAAGGCCCTGAAGACTGAAGGATATGAGCCCTTCATGGCCTTTTCTCCGCCAGGAAACTCTCCAGGCTCCTTCCTCACTTCCCTTAGCCCAGGGATACCCTAGAGAAGTCTGACAGGTACCTAATCTCCTGCCTATACCCTGGATAATAGGACACACAGGATCTTCCTAGGGCTGTAGACACACTGTCCCTCCAAGCAGGGACTGCTCAGCCCTTGTGTCAAGCATAGCATCTCCCATAGGATCGGGAACTTTCTTGCCACCCTGTGGCTTAAGGCCCTTTCAGCCTATCTGTCATCAGTCATAGCCCACAGCATGGCTCCCTGGATAAGACTCTTTCCAAGCACAAGATTACTGCTACCATTTGAGTGAGAGAAGAGTCTCTCTGTCAATGACAGGAAGGCTATGCTCCTACCATGGGTTATTAAACAAACATGGAGCATACCAGGCACTGTATATCCAGTCTTGTGCAGAGTAAACACAGTCTCTGCCCTTACTGTTTACAGTTGGGGCGTCCTGGATCTGAAAACCACAGATCCAAGTTCCATCTGCTAAGAGTCCTAGATAATCTAGACCTGGGTTAAACGTAAGCCAGTATTTTAAAACTTCTAATTCTAGAACAATAACCATGCCTCTCATTTGTAAAGCACACCGCTATTTAAAACATAAATTAGCTCATTGATACTAATAATGCATTTTAGTTGCACTAGAATGAAGATTCACTTTCTTGTTTATCATCTCATTTCATGACTGTGCTCTGTGTAACTCCAGGAAGTAGAAAGGAAGAGGAAAGCAACAAGTGAGTTATTCCCAACCCAAGAGTCCCTCACTTTAATCAAAAGAGCATAGTTATCTCTTTTAGATATAAGCATCACATAAAATTTTCCTGGCAAAAGGAGATCCAGCTAGGCGCAGTGGCTCACGCCTGTAATCTCAGCACATTGGGAGGTGAAGGCAAGAGGATTGCCTGAACCCAAAGGTTCAAGACCAGCCTGGGCAACTTGGCGAGACCTCATCTCTACAAAGAATAAAAAAATTAGCTGGGCATGGTGGCATGCTCCTGTGGTTCCAGCTACTTGGAAGGCTGAGGAGGAAGAATCACCCGAGCCCAGCTGGTTGAGGCTGCGGTGGCCGTGAGCATGCCACTGCACTCCAACCTGGGTGGCAGTGAGACCCCGACTCAAAAAAAAAAGAAAAAGTAAAAGCAGATCCAAGGTCTTTAAAAGTAAAAAATTTGAAACCAACTGATGAAGAACAACTTCCTCTTTTGTTATATGAAGAAACAGAGGCACAGAAAAGAAAGTGACCAGAGAGGGACATTCAGTGAGCTATTCCCAGAGTCAGGATTGGGACCTTGTTGTCCCAACTGCCAGGTCACTGTTCTTCCACTCAGGAGATATGACTCTTCAGAGCAGTAAGTAGCCTTCAGGCCCACCAAGTCACCTCCTTCCCCAAGGACTTGCATCTCAACCATACTAGCCAACTGACTACTCAGCTGCCAACCTGGACAGATAGTCCACAGAATCTAAACAATTCCCCGTAAAACCATGCGTACATGCCATCTGACAATCATATATTGCATATAGACAGTGGTCACATACATCTACCCCACCACCAACTCAGAGTAATTCTACGGAACTCTAAGTTAAGCTCATCTACTCTCCACTCCTGCAGAGTTCTTCATTACCTCCCTCCCCAACGTGAGATAGCTGAAACTCCTTTCACCATACAGGACTCTCTCCTCTGGAAACTCCCCTCAGAGCCCAGGGCTGGAGTTCCAGAACCCAGTTCTCTTGTATTTTGGTGCAACCAATGCTGAGATAACCTGACAGGCAATGTAGCAAGAAAGATCACTGACCCATCCTAAGCCCCAGTGGGAGATCCAGTGAGGACCCAGCCCAAGAATGAGCTAAAGGGCTAATCTTCTAACACAGCCACCATTCTT